ATAATAATAATAATAATAATAATAATAATAATAATAATAATAATAATAATAATAATATTTATAACATACAAGCCATGCCCAGCCAGTCACATGACCATCAAGCCACATCCACAAATTAGGCCATACCCACAGAACCAGTTAGTGGTCCCTGGGATTTAAAATTATGAGTTTGATGGTCTCTTAGGTCCAAAAGGTTGGCGACCCCTGGTTTAAGCTTAGCTGTGAAAAGTTTATTATTACTATAGTAAGGTTTTAGTCAGCATACATACGTCACACATCATCTCGGGCAGCTTCAAAAATGCTTCAGTCTGTAGTCGAGGCAAGCTTGTAGCTTTAACTTTGCCTCTTCACTCCAAGATTTCACTGTTTTAACTATCGGTTTTATGATGTTTAGTCTTCATCTATAAACAGGTACCAGGTAAATAATACAGTGATCAGAGTGTCCCAAAGCCGCTTTTGGTAGAGAACAATAGGCATTTTTTTTAATGTTGACTAGCAGTGGTCTAAAATATTCTTGCTTCTAGTGAGACAGCTGACATGCTGAGTGTATTTTGGCAGCTCCTGGCTTAGATTAGCACTATTAAAATCTCCTGCTACAATGAGTAGAAAGTTTGGATATCTGTTCAGCCCACAGGATTTGATTTGCTAAGGTTTGCAATGCCTTGTTTATACAAGCTTAGGGTAGTATGAAGACTGCAACTAGTATAAATGAACAAAACTCATGGAGGTAATAGAAGGGTATTCAGTTAATGAATAATGTCTGTAAATCCATATCACAGAATTTCTTTAGTGTGACATTTTTGTACCGGTTGTTAATATAAAAATAGATTTAATTTAACTAACTTAGTCATTTGGTCAAAGAATGAAATAAGATTACTTTTACATGATCTGTTCTTGACAAAGCCATGTTGGCTTCTGGTTATAACTTCGTTTGCTTCTAGGTGTTGGCAGATTTGTTGCTTGATTATCTTTTCCAATATCTTCCTAGGTATTCATGTCAGACTGATTGGTCTGTAGTTTCCTGGATTTGTTTTTCTCTCTCCTTTTTTAAAGATGGGAACCACATCAGCTCTTTTCTAGTCCTCAGGTAGTTCCCTGGTACTCCAAGAACTTTAAAAGATATGGACCAGTAGGTTAGGGATCACATCTGCCAGTTCCCTCAGAATTCTGGGATGTAATACATCAGGATCCGGTGATTTGAATTTGTCTAGAGCTCTTATCTTAGTTTTGCTTCTTTTAATTTGCATTCCTATTCTATCTTTTACAGTTCTGTTTTTGGTAAGTTGGGTTCTATTATCTTTGTGCGTGAAGACAGGTGCAAAGAATGAGTTAAATAAACAGTTCTGTTTTCTCTCTACTGTTCATTGCTTCCTTGCCATCATCTCCTATTAGTGGACTAATTGTTTATTTGACTTTTGTCTTGTTTTTTAATGTGTTGAAATATTTTTTTACTATTTTTGATATTTGTTGAAAGTCTTATTTTGTTTTGAGCCTTAGCTTTCCTATTCATTTTTGCAGGTTCGGGCTATTTGTTGGTATTCTGCCTTAGTTATATGTCCCTCTTTCCATTTTTTTGCACCTATCCTTTTTTTTCCTTTCAGTTTGTGTAAGAGTTCTTTGTGCAACCATAGTGGTTTCCTCTTGGATTTCTTGTTTTTCTTTTTCAGTGATATTGAGCTGGACTGGGCTTTTATAATCATATTTTTCAGAATTTTTCAGAATTTCCCAAGCTTCTTGAATTGGCTTCCCCTTTAAGATTTTCATCCATGGGATGGATCCTTCCCAAACTTCTGAGTTTGTCAAAATTAGCTCTTTTAAAATTCTAAGACAGTGGTTTGAATGTGTTCTGTTACTTGTGTCTGTATTGTGTTCTGTTTTGTATTGTATTGTGTTGTATTGTAATACAATACAGTTTTCTATTTTGTCTGTATTATAGTCTGTTGCTTGTGTCTGATAACTAGCATGTTTTGAGATCTAGCTCTCATTATCCCCAGCAATATATTCAGTGTCTGGAGGGGATGGGAGTTGTAGTCCAGTACATCTGGAGGTCAGAAGATCGAGATGGCACATCAAGGTGGGACCTCCCACCTTAGCCATGTATTTGTTCCCAATGGTTGGGATTTAGCTGAGGTCATTCCAG